GAGTGATTCTAACACAGAATCCTCTTTACGGCCAGGAGGCACGAAGTCATTGTTTTGAAAGTCTCAAGTTATGTCACAAGATAAAGTCCTAAGTCAAATCTGAAAAGTCGCAAGTCAAGTTCTAAGTCCCAAACTTTGAGGTTTAGGAACGTTTCACCCAATGTAATTCAATTTTTCGTAATGTATTTCGTTTTTTGTTGACCTCCACATATGTTTTGTACATAAACAATTATTTTCTTTCTCAACATTACATTACATTACATTACATTACATGTTACTTGTTAAACGCTTTTATCCAAAGCGACTTACATACTCAATGCTGTGGGCAATCCCCACAGGAGCAATTTGGGGTGAAATGTCTCAGGGACACAACGACATGCTGACTGCAATGGGGTTTGAACCTGTGACCCCCTGATCCGAACCCACTACACCACACGCCCCCCTAACCGTAACATTAGTCAGGGATCTCTCCTGCATCTTGATTGGACGCTGTTGGATAGACTTAATGAAATTAATCACAGTAACACAAGTTGACATGAAAGGAAATGAATTCATTTATGGACATACATTTTACCCTTTAGGTTTTGGGGAAGGTGTCAAGTATTTCTACGTATGTCAAAAGGCTCATCGAATTTATGTCAAGAGTCATTTGTGTTAAAGTACAAGTCCAGTTGCACTTCTTTTCTGATTTTGTCAAATAAAGATTCAAATTTGTCACACCTATGGTGAATACAGGAAACAGACTGCAGACTGGTTATCTGTCAGAGAAGCACACTAACTGCAGAGGGCTGTGCTGAATACAAATTGCTTCATCGTTTCTTTAAAGCTCCATCCCCACCAAAATATCTCTCACACACACACACACACACACACACACACACACACACACACACACACACACACACACACACACACACACACACACACACACACACACACACACACACACACACACACACACACACACACACACACACACACAATTTTTTTATATATATACATAGCACCAAATTGCAACTAATCTATATCTACTGTCACTTTTCACATGTGCTCTTTTATTAAATAAACTAAATGCTTTCATTGTGAGTTTAGTGTTTTTGACCCTAAGAAACACTGATGCATTAATCAATAACAATAATCCACAGCTCCTCTCTCTGCTACAGAGGATTACACAAATATATATCCCAATGCCACCCCCCCCCCCCCCGCTCAGGCAGCACCCTCCCCCCCCCAAAGCAGTAAACCTAGGGGAAACACTGCACACACACATATAGAAACAGGCTGCACAATGTTTGTTGCACAACACTGCATTGCTTGCAGATACTAACATTCACATCACATGCCAAACTGACTCCCCTAACAATGCAGTAATGTTTTTTCACTCATGCTGTAGGCTACATTTGCCCCATCAGTACTGTACCAGGTTAAAACGGGTCCTTTTCTATGGTAAATGGATCTTGAAGAGGATATTTCTAGTCTATTTAAGAATATAATTCATACCATCCCTGCAGTCATTTTCTCTGGCATGAGTTTGCGTGTTCAGTCATCAGTGGTTGTCAGAGCAGTCAGTCCCATGCTCTCAGAGGAGGAGAACTAGCTCAATAGATGGCTTGTACTAATGACTCCACAGAGAACCCATGCATCAGCGGGTGCAAAGACACAGCCAGGACACTGCTGAAACGGCACTATACTGTGTGCAAGCCAGGGTGTGGCAGAATATATGTGTGTGTGTGTGTGTGTGTGCGTGTGTGTGTGTGTGTGTGTGTGTGTGTGTGTGTGTGTGTGTGTGTGTGTGTGTGTGTGTTGATTAAAAGAGTGTATAAATGTGTCCATAACTCACCTTCTCATCTTATCATTCCAGTCACTTTTCTCTGCTCCTTTTTGCCGTCCAGCCTCTCTCCTCTCCTGCTTTCAAGCTCGGGACCAGATGCTGCTCTGCTGAAGGTGATTTCTTTTTCTGTCTGAATTCCCCTGATAGATTTGACCCTTGCCCACTTGTCCAGTGCAGGTTTTTAAGGCTGCCTTCACTGCTTTCCAGTCCTTGTCCTCTCTGAAGAGCTGAGAGTTTGATATTTCCTAAATAGATCTCTTGGTTAGCGCGATCAGGCACTGCAGGCTCTGGATTTGCTCTGTGCAGTGGAAGTAAGCAGGGAGGGGTGGGGGGGAGTATTAGGAAGGTGGAATGGGGGGGTGGGGGCAAAGGAGAAATGGAGCGCATAGCAGAGGGGTCCCTGCCTTCAAGGAAAACTCCTCTACCCCTCATCTGGCAGCTTTCAGGATTTACTTCTGCATTTAAAGCGACAGCTATTGTTGTGTTTAGATTCATTGACTGATTTCACTCCTGTTTGTACTCAAAATAAATCACCTAAATCCATATGATCCCTCTGTAACATATCCCTTTACAGAGGAACACGGTGCTGTAAGTGGTTGTTATTTTCCCTGTGTAAATGTAGTTAGTGCCACAAACACCTTGAAGATTTATTGCAGAGGGCTCCAGTCCACTGCAGCTTCCTACCTGTCATCAGCAATACAGGAAACGCTCCGTTCTGCACTGCATTGCTGTACTTCTCCCACACATCACCACTGTTGGTTCTAAGGAACAGTTTAACAGTGACACAGAGGGTGATCAGTGTTTCCAACCAGGTTGGTCATATTTATATTTGTTGTAATTAGTAACATAATCCATCTAACTTGAACAATTTTTTTTTAAACTAATATGAATATTTGTGGATACCTTAGTACATAAAAAATAGACGCAGCCAAAAAGTGTTTTCCCCTATAAAACATCTAAAAACCTAAATTGCATTTATCATGTTCAGCTTTTCACGAGTCAACAGCAAAAAACATTGCATTTGTATAAATTGCCATACTTTAAAGGTCACCTATTATTAAAAATCCACTTTTTCATGTCTATTATACATAAACATGTGTCCCCTCTGCCTTAAGAGATTCTGAAAGTTTCAGGAAAAAAGATTCTCTCACTTTTTGTCCTGATCCATTTATATAAAAACCTGTCTGAAAATGAGCTGACCCCCCCTTATCACCTGAATCTCCTCCTAGAGCACCATTGTGTTCTTTTTAACCAAATATCTCTCAGAGGGGCGTGGGGAGTGGCTCCTTATTTTCATCTAAAGTAACAGACAGAGAATCAGCACTTTTGAAACAGGGCTGAAACAGAGGGGATTATGGGATGCTACAATAGATGATCTGTTTGGTGTTTCGAGGCCAAACCCTTCAGAAACTTGGGTTGCAGTTGAATAATCCAAAAATCAGCTCCTATCGTCTATTCGTATCCACTATTCCTTGACCTCTGTGTGAAACGTCACGGGGTTAAGGAATAGTGGATAGGAGAATTCAAAAGGACTTAGGAGAAGAGACTGCGGTGCTTTGAGAATCTGACTGCACTTTCACTATCCAACGTATTTATGATGCGCCAGCGGACGTCATGAATGTGCGTCTGCTGTGGGGAAACTACAGTTTTCTATACAGCGGATTACATGGATGTATAATAAGAATGGCGGACTACTGTAAACGCATTTGATACTTTGCACCGTGCTCTTATGGTGTTGTTGCTTTATGAACGTGGACAACAGAGAAACATATTCTTCATGACCAAGGTTGGAATTTAAATTAAAAAGTAAAGTGAAACTTATGCTTGTCACCCTCCAGTCCACATCAATACAAATGATCCCAATACGTATGATTGTATGAAAAGATCTTAAAATAAATACAAATGTAATTATTATAAACGTGTTAGTCCTTAACATCTATCACTGTGTATATCACCATTAAACATGTTTTAAAAAGTTTAAGAAACCCAACACAGCTCAGTAAAGACTATGAAATGTTGACTTTATTTGATCATTTCAGTAAAAACTAACGTTCATATTTCTCCTTTTGATTATTATAGTGATGAACGTTTAAAACAAAGCACTTTGGCAAGTTACCACATACATTTTAAAATGCTTAATAAGCACCGTAACTTTCATGATACTAATTTCTCGGTCATAATCCGGTCCGTTCGGAAGGTTCTTAAACTAAACTGACAATTTGACCGCAGCCATGTTTTGTATATATCTGAGACCTATAATATATTGATGAAAAAGAGTATAATAGGAGACCTTTAAAGACTTGATGAAAAGTAACTGTAATTAAGTTTCAAATTTGTTCAATATAACATGGGCTGATTATAGTTACTTATTTTTTTAATCCGATTACATAATCCCATTAACTTCCCACCCTAGTTCCAATTGTGAGCAATTCAAAACGATGTTGCATCATTGTGGATTCCTGATTTATGTAACCACAGCGGCTCAGAGTCATTGCTCATTTGTACTTGTCTTTGTTCAGTTGTCATGTAAACTAAACAAAGAACCCATTTACTCACACCTCTCTCTGTACTTTCCTCTCTTCATGCCTTTACTTCCAGTCCCTACCTGCACTGATTGAGATGGAGTGTCCCGTCATTGGCCATTACAACAAGGCTTAAAAAAGAATCCCTCACTTATTCTGTCAGTCACTCTACAACTTGCTAGGACAACAATGTGTACTGTGTTAGCACTGCAGTGCACAGAACAAAAAAAGTATATATTTGACAATAACACTGACTAAGGGTTGACTTATAACTTTTACTGCATTGTTAAACTTGCACATCACCCGCAACTCCAAGTGTTTCCCCCTCCCGCTGCTTTATGGGGTTGAAGCAGGAGCTGCATTGAGAAGGGACAAACTGTTCAGACTTTTAATGAAGAGTACCCATCCATCATGACGTCACAAGCAACCAAATGAACAAATATCTGTACAGGACGATGGAAACAAACGCATATTTGTTATATTTTGTATGGCCTTGTCAGCTCTGGCTGAGGTGGAAGAGAGCGTTCTTTCTGAGGTCAGTGGCACTGCCTGGAGGAGGCCCTTTCTCTGCATGCTAATCAAGCAAACCTTTCTTTCTCTCTTTCTCTCTTTCACACACACACACAAAATCGGAAGTGGCTGCATGGTCAAATAATTCAGGACTGAGGTTTCTCAGGACGGGTTTTATTCCTCTTTTTGTTGCGTATGTCAAAACAGTACATCTCAAAAGGTTTTTCACAACACATATGGACTATGACACATATTATTATATAAAAATAATTACCTACAAAATGACCACTTATAATTACCGACCACTATTATTTTTCTTTTTATTCAAATGCCTTCATGGCACAGGAAGATCCCCAAAAATAACATTTGTTATGTATTGTAAATAGAGAAGTGAAAAGTAAATAATGACAGCAAAACTATATCAAAATATCACTTTACAAACTGGAAGTGGAATTCAAGGGGCCACTTTCTGGTGAAAAATTAAGCCAATGTAACAGTGCCAAAAGCTGCATTTCCTCGATTAGCCACCTGAGGCTTGCTCCGAAAGCAAGTCAATCTCCATACACCACCATTACAAAACGCCAAAGCAGAAATAATCATGGTTACAGGTTGGAACAAAAAAATGTTGGTGTCTTTATCTAATTGACCTGTTCATTACAACGGGACAGTGCTGATGTTTATACAACTCACCCATTTAAATAATTTTAACGATTAAGGGCGTCTAAGATCCACCTACCAGCTTATTCTTCTTTGAAAAGGAAACTGGTGATGGTACACAGTTAATTGAAAGCAATAATATTAAGTTGTAACTAATATTTTGTATCTAAACGTATTGTTATTGCTTTCAATTAGCCTAGTACAGTTATGTGAAATCTATTGACATAATACATTTAGTTAAAGTCAACGTTTCAGTTTTTTCACTGTAGAGGTAAAATATCCCATTGATACATTTCAATATAACATCACTAATAACAAAGAAGTACAGTATCAACCAATTGTTTTCAAGCAGAAATGCTCAGTGCACAGTTTGACACATCTAGCTGCGGTTGATCGACTTCCTGTAAAGCAAAAGCTGCTGAAAAAAAGAATGCCTTATTTACTGTATTGTAAAGCTCTAGGGAAGTAAAGGCAGGTGCTCAGGAAACGCATTGGAACACACATTTAACCCTAGACTTTATCTTTTGGTTCCTCAGTGCCTTTACAGTTGGAGGCGGATGCGGCCTCGGTGGACTTGGAGTCAGTGGCTTCTTCTTGTGGCTTTGAGGCCTTTTCAGCAACGGTTACAGGACCAGCCGAAACTTCTTCACTCTTTGCAGTTTCTTCCTCCTTCTTCTTCTCTTCCTTTGGTCCATCCTCCTTTACCTTCCCGCCTTCTTCCTCGGTGGTACCATTACCCATCTCCTCCTGCGTTTGACCAATGTCAGACATCAACACCGTGTTCTCTTTGGCTTCTGGCTCTGACGCGCTTTTGTTCCTCTTGGCGGTTCCCATCCAGTATTCGGAGGTGCTGAACAGGTCTGCGTTGCTGCTCAGCGCCTTGATGCGTCTGCTCTGCTGGCACACCTTCCATATCAACAGCAGAGTAGAAACCAGCAGAATGGTACACGCTATGATCAGTCCGCCGCTCACCATGAACAATGGAAGGCATTCCCTGTACATATTGAAAGGGGTGGTGGTGGAAGTGGTGGTAGTGGTGGTGGTGGTGGGCCGATGTGTGCCAGATGACATTGAAGTGCTATGACTGCTGAAGTCCAGGGAGACTGGTGAAGGTGACTCAGACTGAATGTTGGCCTCACTTGTGTGATCAGATAGGGATGTTTTTTGAAAAGTTGTTGAAGTGGAGTCTGCAGTTGAATTGTCTTCTTGTGTAGTTGAGTCAAGATCTGAAGTAGTCAGATCTGAAGCAGCAGTAATTCCTGCAGTCATTTGAGAACCGCACAATAGTGAACCAAGGAGTTCTACGCAGCACAACAGGAAGAGCAGTCCCTTCATGTTGCTATCTGAGAAGACAAGATAGCTGTTTAGCAAAAAAATTGGTTTTGAAATATAGATTTGATACAGGAAGAACAGTTAGCAAGAAGCTCAGACACAGTACCTCACTTTATAATCAATGTGGCAGCTTTAGTCAAATAAAAATGAGTCATTTATTACTATGGACATTAACTTAAGTATTAGATATGTGAGTCTGCTCTTTCTGACATGATAATATCTGTACTTAAAAAAAAAGAACTATTTTTTTGTCACTTCTGCAACACAATACTCCCGATTCACCACAAATACACTTTTCCGTTTTGTTCTGCGATTAAACAAACATATATTGTCCTGTCACTCATTTTCTTATATTGATTATTTGATGCTACTTTATACAGTGTTTTTAATGCTAAATCATGAAGGCAAATGTTGCCTTGTAAAAAACTAATATATGTTAACACAAATATAGTATGATGCTAACCAGCAGTATATGTTATAAATAGCCCAACCTTTACCCACTGTATGATTTAAGTATACCCATTAAGCATCCTATGATTCGTCATTGTAATATTTGGTATTCTGAAATGGACCATTTGTGATATGTGATATATTATCCATAAGTTTAATTTCATACATACATACATACATACATACATACATACATACATACACACACACACACACACACACACACACACACACACACACACACACACACACACACACACACACACACACACACACACACACACACACACACACACACACACACACACACACACACACACACACACACATACATACATACATACATACATACATACATACATACATACATACATACATACACATTGGAACCAGCTGCAGCACGTAAAACAAAAACAAAAGCATGGCTTTAACAGCAATTTAGCTTTCACAATGTAGTGCATTTTTTTGTTTTGTTTGAAATGTTTCGCCATAGTTTCCAATAAAGTAGTTGATTCATTTCAGATTCATCACTTACTCATTTACAGAAGTTCTTCAGAACCATATTTGGTGCATTGTTTTGGGGACATAATTGTGAAGACATGATTGTAATTGTACAGCAAATTCCTAAAACTGATGTAAATTCATGCTAAAGTGACAGTTAAGTCCATACTGTACTGTATTTGCTATACCGTATACTGTGTATTTTGTATGTAGAAAACAGTGTAAAAAGTTTCAAAATATATTCAAAAATATATTTTATCATCAGGATTTAGAACAGAACCGTACAAAAACGCTCTCAACACGTTAAAACATATTCCTTATTCTTAGAAGTCTTACCAGTTAAGGCCTAAACATTAAGTTGATACTATTTTTCTCTGTTGCATGATGTCAGAATTGACATATCTCAAACACAAAAGTATTAATAAATGGCACTTACATTGCTGATGATCTTGATTTATTTCCAAGAAGAATATGGTTTAATCAAATAATAAAAACGTGCGGCGAGTAAAGAGAGATGAGCGGTGTGTAAAGGAACTATGTCAAATGATGGGAATCCAAATAAATGGCACACTCGTCTGTCTGTCTTCTGCTTACTTCTCCATTTTGACTATAAAAAGAAAAGGAAGTGGTTTTGTGTTCTGTACAAGGCTAAAGCTGGTCACGCAAATATCTGTCGTGTGACAGACTATTCAAAGTTAGAGGCATACTGAGCAACACACTTACGATAAAATAGCTCTAGAATCATTGACCAGAGATTATTTTATGCCTGGTTAATAGAATTTTAGCTAAGTGGTAAAGACACAATATTATTTTTTTTTTTTAAATGACAAGCCATCTCATCTGCCTTAGATAGCTACGTCATGTCAAGAGGCCCACAGCAGATTTTAGTTGAGACAAGAGGATTCAACTTCTATACTTCCGTTGCTTAAGTGTCATGTACTTATTTTGGTCTTAGCCACAATTTCTTCAAAAATCTTTATTTAAAGTTCCTATTTAATGTCATGCACCTATAACGCAAGGCCTTTTGACACGTCAGTAGATTATGAGTACATGCAAGTGGAAAATGTTGCAGCATGACACATGAAGGTGACTCAGATATGTAAAATGGGTCCAATTCAACATCTGTTCCTGGCACAAAATAAAGAATGATTATTTGCATCGATCGCTAGTGTAATAAAGTTCCCCTTTTTGTTTCTGCGGTAAATGTATATTTGTGTATCCTGTGCGATTTGTGGGTATTTCTGCTGCGTGTGTGCACATGCACCTGTAACTTGTTTTAGCATCATCCCGACACTTGACACCAGAGAGATAAAAGACAACAGCTTCTAAAGTCAGGTCTGTTTTGCAGGTATTCAACTGAAGACCCTCAAGTATATAACCCTTGTGGTTGACCTGCTACGCTTTTGTTGTCACTGCAATGACAACAAATATCCGTTTAGACCAGGGGTGGGGAACCTCAAGCCCCGCGAGACCATTTGGTACGGCCCTCGAGGTAATTTAAAAAACACAAAAAGAAAAAAAATTAAGAAATCTAGACCGCAAAAAAAATTAAACAAGCGAGTGCCTGTTTTTCCTGGCCAAGGTCAGGGTCCTTGAACACAACACGAGTCTAACGTGTCATCACGTGGTATATGTCTCGTCTGACAGGGGTGTAGTGCTGACGGAGAGCACCAGAACGTCGCTCCGCCACTTCAGAAATTGCAGTACCCATAAGGAGCCGTACACATGCCGCAGTTTTTGCGTGGCTGTGTCTTTAGTTGAAAGCCCAGTGGCGATCTGTTCATCTGTCATACTGATCATACAGTCAATAACTTTGTTGTTATTAGCATCTGGTTAGCTAGCTATGCTAGGCAAGGCAAGGCAAGGCAAGGCAAGGCAAGGCAAGGCAAGTTTATTTATATAGCACCTTTCAACACAAGGCAATTCAAAGTGCTTTACAAAAATGGAAGACATTATGAAAATGGCATTTAAAATCAGTCATTAAAAAGAAAAGATAATAAAATAAACATTAAAAGAAAAAATACACGAATATATGCTAACGAATATAAGAAGCTTTTTCTACAACCAGTGAGGTAAAGGCACATCTTTATGATCATTATAGTTATAAAAAAATAAGAGAATAAAGTAAACGGGTATAAAATACTATAATGACAGTAAAAAAAAGTTGTTATTAATAAACAAGAATACAGTTTAAAAGGGGAGTGATTTGTAAAATATCCATAAAGAAAAAGAAAATCTGCTTACAGTTCTGTTTCATATGGATGTTGATGTATCCATAGATCTCTTAATGTTGCTCTCAAAGAGGATGTTGAAAAAATTGAAATGGCCCTTGAGAGGAAAAAGGTTCCCCACCCCTGGTTTAGACCATTTCATCAATTATCTTCCATAACATATTGAGCAGTGGCCAGAAATGCTGATGAATGCAATGAAGATTCAATATACTTTTAAGCAGGGCTGTTGACTTAACCTTATTTTTTTTCAACTAACACAAAAGCACCACTTAAAATCATCTTTGGTGTTTACCAATACGTTTTGGAATCCCTTCTTATTTCTTGGACATTTGTAAAAGCACTAAAACAACAACAAATCTTAGTAAGCTTGTGAAAGAAAAGTTGAAAAAAGCTAATTTTTAAAGAATTTTTTGAAGTAAGAAATTAAGCTAAGTAGCTTACCCTGTTTTACATACGAGAAGAGAGAGAAACACATTTTCTCAATTTTTTCAATGCAATAGGAAATTCTAAATGGGCCCAGATAGATAATATTAAGTGCTAATTCAGTCTCTCCCCTTGACACAGATTCAATTTGATAAAGCCGAAATCTGACCAAATATGTTTAAGGGGAAGTGAGAATAGAAGGACCTGAGATGACTTCATCTCAAAAGCCCCACACATCTCTCCCTGGGTGATGGAAAGTCCCAGCTGTCATTAACAAAGACCACAGAAGAGGTGATTTAATAGCAGCTTTCCTTTCATCAAAAAGGCAACTCAAGGTGCTTTAAATGACACAGAAGGCATCGAGAAATATGTTTAGAAATGTAAGTCGATAAAATTAGATAAAAGGACAATATCAGATGAAAATATGCCAAAATAGAATAAGGCAGTGACATTAATTTTTACAAGTCTATTCCAAAAGGGGTGACGCAGGGGAGTGTGAAGGAAAAAAGAACTAGAAAAATTATCCATGAGCTGGTTGTAAACACACTGAGGCTGTGATGTCATGTCTTCGCCACATTGAGGCTGCTGTGTGTCAGGGCGAGTCTTCTTCGATGGGTAGTGAAGGCCATCTGGCCTGAAAAGATGCCAGATGGAAGTTATCAATATAATTGATCCCTTTCAGACTGCATAGTTCTGCTGAGCCCTCATAGTCTGCTGAACTTGTTGATCCCATGTTGACCGTTGGCAGTGGTCCAATAATATAAAGAACCTCCAGGTTGTCCAGACAATTAAGCAGCTCAATGAAATCCCATTTTGGCACATTTGATTGACCTTTGCAGACATTACTGGCCCCCACATGTAGAATCATGTCGTGTTTTATTCCTCATTTAAGGATTTTTCTGTTATTTTCGTGAGTTGGCAGCACTAAGTCCATAAATCTTGACTTCCTGGTAGTACAGTGTTATCATTACGTTTAACAACCGTATTCTCCCAGCAGGTAGAAATCCCATTCGCACAGATCGATGTCCATTTAAATCTTGTCCAGTTCAATCCTGATGAACTAACTCGCCAGCAGAGTGTCGTTGAGTTCAGATCAGACTTCTTCAGGGCGCATATTCTTGTCTGGAGCACAGCAATATTCTCTAACAATTTATGACAAGCTGTGCACTTTATCGATTCTGAGGATGAGGAGGCACAGGGCAGCTCAGGCCACAGTGCTGTCAGCAGTCCACTAAGTTACTGTTTGGCTCGCGGTAACACTCTGGGTTTAGAAGGCCGCTAAAAGTAGATCATTCCAACAGAGAGTAGTCATAAATTGTCTTCCCCATTATTTATTTGCCACAAGAGACCTCCTTGAATGTGTTTTTTTTTAAACTTTTGTATTGCATTTTATATAGTGCAATCTTACAATACAATAAAATGTCTACCTCGCAATGTTACAGAAAGTGAAACTTAGTTCATGTTCCGGACTGTGATTCGGCTCTGTTCCCAAATGTAATGGGTTATTTCTTGGCTCATTCTACACCCTACCTGCAAGTATCATGAACATTGGCCAGTGCTTTTTTCGGAAACCTTCCGAGAGACAAAGCAATTTGAAGACTTAACCTCCTTTGCAGAGGTACATCAACTATAATACAACCATTTAAAACACATGTAAATAAAGGGAAAATAAGTCCAAGGGATTATTTCCACCATGTTTAAAAATGCCTTGTAGTTTGAGAGAAAACATGAATTGGTTCTGCACAAATCACTAAATGGTTAATCATCAGGTCCAGAATTATTTAACAGCACATAACATTAACAAATGAATAATTGTCCTTTGCTTTGATTGCTTTGCTGGAAAGTAAGGACATTCTCTGTGTGGCCTCCCAGTAAAGGAAAAGCTTTCCCCACACCAAATGCTGGCCATGTGACCCAGTACCAGCTGGGGTCAAAGAGCTTTTGGTTGCATTGCATCGTCAGCCACAAGACAAGGTCCTTTCTTCTCTGTTGGATTGATGCAAGTGTGCAGAAATGAATCCATCACTTTTACAAAGCTACACTTTAGAAACATCCTTCCTGATAACAGGTTTCAAGGACTGAATTCAGGCAGTATTTATATTTTCACTGACAGCTCCCAAGGCTCTACATCGGGACCCCCTTGAAAACGAGATGGTGCATCTCAAGGGGTTTATCCCAATAAATACAATTTCTATATATATACATTATAAACTTTTGATAGTTCAAAAAAGCTGCGTAAGCACAAATGTGGAAGAAAACATGCTGGCATACAGTTTATTTATGAAGTATATCAAAGCAATGCCCTTGCCAACAGTCCATACTCTTCTGCTATATATTACAACTATAGATACATGCGTATTAATTAAATGTCCAAGCCAGATTTGGACAATGCAGACACAAGCAGACTTAACCATACTGGCATGTCGGTTTTAAACCATTCAGCGGTGGGACAAAGTCACTGTTCAACAGGTCTTAAGTAAGTCTCAAAACATAATCAAATCCCAAGTCAAGTACCAATCAAATCCAAAGGTAAGTCCCAAATCAGGTCCAAAATCATGTCACAAGTCAAGTCCCAATCAATGTCAAGTTCAGAGGCAGGCAAAACCCAAATCAAGTCCCAAGTCAAGTCCCAAGTCAAGTACCAAGTCAAGTCCCAAGTCAAGTTCCAAACAAATCCTGAGTCAAGACTAAAGACCCAAGTCAATTACAGGTCAGGTCCCAAGTCAAGTTCCAATTAAACCCCAAGCCAAGTCAGGTAATTGGCACGTCATTTAGCAAATCAAGAGCAAGTCAAGTCCCAATCAAATCCAATGTTAAGTCCGAGGTCAAATTCTGATTATATATAAATATATAAGTATCAAGTCAAGGTTCAATCAAATACAAAGTGTTGTCCAAAGTCAAGACCCAAGGCAGGCAACCATGTCACAAGTCT